CAAACCTTCAGACTCTACTCAGGGTCCTAGACTTGGCTAACCAAACTCACAATACAAGAAAAGCCAACTCACACAATCCATCTCTCAGCTCTAATCAGTTCAATGTATGTATGATGGATGGTTCTACGGAGGCTCAGCCACAAACATAGGTCCCACTTTATCATGTCACTGTAGGATCTATTTAATATACCAGCCAACAAACAAACCCCTTATTCTGGTGCACTAACATTAACAAAGATAAGTCAGCTCAAATTCACTTCCAGTCCCAGTAGAGAAAAGACAGGCTACTTGTCATTTTTCCCTATCAAAGTACAGCAGCCTGGGGAAGGGACATTTTTAATGAAATAACCTATCAAGGTCAAGGCACTGATCCTAATTTCCTCTACCAGGGGGCTCTTTTTAGGGGGAAATCTGGTCTTGGCCTGGATGGCCCAATCTTGTCATATCTCAGAAGCTAAGCATGGTTACCCTTCATTAGTACATGAATAGGAGGCAACCCTGGAATTCTAGGGCTGCTATGCATAGGCATAGCAGTGTCACCAGTGTCACCAACCCTACAGTGTCACCATAAATCAGCTGTGACTTGACAGCATTTTCCACCACCAATATTATCTGGGAATAACAAGTCATGGTATTTCAATAAAAGTTTCTGGAAGTGGAGGGTTCCCCCCACCCTTAAATTTGTCTCTCTGCATTGCTATACACAAAGAAAATAAAGCACATAAGCAAAAAGGAATGCATTTGCATGAACAAAAAATGCATAGTAGGTCTGATAAGACAATAGCTACATACAAAGGAACACATAAAATAAGCTGCACAAGAAGGAGCACATACAATACACTGCACTAAACAATTTTTAAAAGTTATACAACTGTCCACAATATGTATAAATATAGTAATACCATTTTTAAAATACGTTGCCTCCTGACAATTGGATTTATACAACAGAGCTATATTGTAAGACTGAGATATCAACAACAACAAGCTATCAACATCTTTGAGATCTTGTTAGCTCTAATACAGAGAAAAAATAACACACCAATCTGAAATACTTTAGAAGTGATGGGTTTGTTAATAATTACACACCTCTTCTTGAGAGTTAATAAAATAGGGCACGTCTGTTTCATGAGGTCCATATTTGCTCTCAAATATCAACCTCAAGCAGGGATTATAGTTCACTAGATAGTGTTATTTTTATGTTTAGATTTCTTTCCCTGGTTACATATTAAATATTTGGGGCAGGGCAACAGCCTTCATCATACTACCACTCCACTCCAACTGCAAAACCTGAAAGTTGAAAGCACAGCTAAAAGAACATGATGGGTTGGAGCTCAGGAACACAGCACCTGCTTTGCATGCACAAGGTCCCAGATTCAATCCCCGACATCTCCAGTTAAAAGGATCAGACAGTAGATATGAAAGATTTCTACCTCAAATCCTGGAAAACCACTGCCAGTCTGATGAGACAATACTGACCTTGATATATGAATGATCTGGCTCAGTATAAAGCACAATCATGTTCAGCCTTTGTATCTGAAGTGGACTGTGGTAAGGGTTGTTAAATTGTTCCAGATATAGACTTTTTTTACAACTGTCTGCTAAATTTAATATACTTTTGTCTTTTGTATTTGTTCTATCTTGCATTGCTTGCTAGATCAAGATGGGTAGTTGTGTTAGTCTGTCTGTAGCAGCAGAAAAGAACAAGAGTCCAGTAGCACTTAAAGACTAACAAAAATTTTGGCAGGATATGAGCTTTCGTGAGTCACTGCTCACTTCTATAGCATTGCTTTCTGTATCTCACCAAATGAAGGTAAAGTTTGTTCCTGCTATTAAGGCAAACAATATTCTTTTCAGGAAATGTTAGACAAAAACTTGTATTACTGCCCTTTACTTTATGACAGACTACATGCACTATGTAAAAGCTACACAATGATCAACATGGGGAGGTTTGTTAAACTAACAGTCTGGAATGACAGATCACACTATGATCAGCATATCAATCATCACTTCCTTTAGGCTTGCATAAACCGAATAGTACTTACTTGCAGATATCATCTTCTGGGTCCTCAAGCCCAAACCTCTCATCAAAAGTGAGCTGTATCAACACATTTTCCTCAATAGCTACTAATCGCCACACCAGTACTGTGTTGCGAGGATAAGTATATGGAAACTTAGGACTGTGAATACTTCCATTAGCAGATACTGTAATAATCTTCTCATGCTGAGGTTCTTGCACTCCTGTAATAAATACATACAAAAATATTGTTTGTTTAATCAAACATGAGTTGTGTGTCTTAAAGTGGACTACAAGATAAAGTTTTTAAAAGCTCAGAAAATATTTTTTTCTTTGCAAATTAAAAGCCTATTACTCAGATGAAGCATTTACAAAAGGAAACCTATCTACTGGCCCAATAAATTGATGAATGTAAGGGCAACATAACATCTTTTGTGAAGTTGTGACTTAATAGCCTTGATTTGCAACAGACTATACCTCATGGAATTCTAACACCTCCCCCCCCAATACCACACCCAGGGAATTTAAAATGATACATTTTCCAATTTAGTGATCAGCATGCTGAACGACTTCAGCATGCCCAGTAGAATCTTGGGAGGCTTTGTTTGAATGAAGGAGCTCTATGTATGCCGTGAACTTGCTTACAAAACAATTCTTAGCTGAGAACCATGAGTTTAAGCATCCATTGTGAACTGAGGGTGCAAGGGAGAGAGCAAGAGTGAAGGGAAGGACAACAATCAGACCACACCAACTTGTAGAGGAAATGGCCACAGCCTTTCTTTTTCTTATTATTACATTTCTATCCCGCCCTCCACTGCGAATGGGTTCAGCCAGCTCACATTCAGGGGCAACGTGAATATAGTCATAGAAGCACTGGCGCAGCATGGGGCATGGAACCTAAACTGGGCAATCCCCCTACTGGGTGATGATGAAACCCCTCATCCCAGTCCACCTACTGGGGGAGCACTATGGGATGAAATGTCCAGGGGTCCACATGGGCATGTACCACTGCGTGATTCCCTTGCCATCTGAGGATGGGCGCTGCATGCCAGCCCCTGAGCTGCATGTAATGTAAAGCAGCCCCACCCTCAAGACCCCTTATTAGAGTCCCATACCGGGGGGAGGCAGGTACTCCAGCTCAGCCTTCCCCAAAATTCGATCTGACCCAGTGCCCAAACTGGGTGAGCAACGAAGAAGCAGGAATATGGTGTAGAGCATGAAATGTTCATAGAATAGTTCTGAACCCAGAATATTTAGAGCACAGAGAAATTGGCACGATTACTATTGTTGCCTAAATTGTTAAGAACCACTGTTATTTCTTCTAGGTATTCTGATAAGCTATTACAGTTTTAATGGTAATCAACCTTAGTTTATAATTTTGTAAACTTTCTTCTTTATTAAACGGCAACATTTTAAATTACAGAAGTCCTAAATATATACAAAGATGGATCTCAGATTAAATCTATACTAACACCTTTCTAGTACATTTCTTAATTCCTTTATACTTCTTACATCCTTTATTATTATAGTCAACTGGTTTGCACTTTATGTATACACATGCAGTTTTGCAATTGGAAGGCTGTGTTTGGAATTTTATGGTATTTATTAGAGGTGTTTGAAATTTTATGGTATTTATTAGAGATTTTTTGAAGCCACCAAATGTCCACCAAAACAGGGAGCTTCCTTTGCCCCTTCTTATCATGGAAGGTAAAAGAGATATTTATGTAATGTATGGATGGTGTGGCAGACTCTTCTGCTCATTCAGACAGTATCGACCAAGAGACCAGCTATGTATGCAGGCACCATGGGTGCACAGAAAGATTCTGTACAAAAACAAAAAACATTTTCCCTGTGGAGTACAAGACACATGGACCACACAAAGGGAAGAATTACAATGAGTTACATTATCATGATTCAGGAAACATTTAAAACTTTGAAAATGTGGCAGAGAGGGCAGGACAATGGCTGCCACAAAGTATTACCATAATATCGGGTGATATAACAATTATAAGTCAAAACTTGCAAGGACTTGTGGGGGGGGGGGAAATCTCATTTCCCCTTCCCTCACTATTTAAAATAGCCCCTCCCCTTTTCCTCCTTCCCATCCAACAGCCATTCTACCTTTATCTGCCCCTCTGTCTTCAGGTTCCCCCCGAGGCAGTTTCTACCTAGGAAAACCGTGGCCCAGTTGTGCAGTACTGGCTGCTGGGCCAGACCCACTTACATGGTAGGAAACTCTCAAAGACTTGTGGAGGGCACATCAGTTTCCCTTGTATGTCCCTCCCCACATTATTTCCCCTTTCCCTCCTTCTGGCAACCCTCGTATCCTTTCCCCTTTCCCTGCCTCATTCTCTTTTCAGCCATTCACCAACCTACCTTTTCTTTGCCTCCCATCTTCAGTTATATTTATTATTTATTTACTTCATTTATGCCCTGCCTTTCCCCACAGTCAAGACCAAACAGCTTACTTCATTCTCCTTCCCTCATTTTTATCCTCACAACAACACTGTGAGGTAGATTAACCTGAAAGTATGTGACTGACCAAAACTAAAAAGAGCCCAGGCCTTTTCCATCATGCCTCAGACTCTGTGGAATTAGCTCATGGAAGAGATGAGGGGGGCACCCTCATTGGAGATCTTAATGAGGTATTGCAAAGTGTGACAGAAAAAGCAGGCTTTTTCAATTGCTGCTTGTATCAGAGAGTTAGGGCATTCAAGAATTAATCTTCCCTGGAGAGAAGAGCTTGGGTGACTGGCTGCTCTGCTCACTCTCTGATTGGCCAACATCAGCTGAGAGAGAAAATAAAACTGCTGATCTTGTGGGAAATGAGGTGTTTTGCCATTAGGTCTTTCGCAATTTGGTCTTACTAATGTTTGTATCAGTAGCCAAAGGGTTTGGCTTCTGAGGAAAAAGACATTTGGGAGTCAGTGTTTTCTGTCAAGAAGTAGTCAGAAAAGAACTTCTACAGAAAGAAGAAGAGAAACCCCACTGTCTAAATATATTAAAACTGCTCTGAGGGAGAACTTAAATTCTCAGAAAAGGCACAACACAGCCTTATACAGACAACAGATACTGGAAAAGGATTTGGCAGAAGGTCTGGGTAGTTAGAGAGAACTCCAGGAGAAGCCAAATAGTAACAGGAGTTATTGCTTCTTAGGGACAAGGAGAATAACTTCCTGCCAATGAAAGGGGTTGGGAAGAGAACCCTGGTCTGTCATAATAGAGAGTAGCTTAGACACCTCAGGAGTTAGTATCTGAAGGAAGAAACTTAGAAACATCAATAAGAACTGTGTTAGTGCTGAAATATATTAAAGCACCTCTCAAAGAAATAGAAAGCCTTGAAACAAAACTACAGATACATTCTCTTGAATGTTCTAAGAATTCAACTCTGAAATATTAGAAAGTTTTTACCTCAGCAATCTCAAAACTTTGACTATTTCTATTATACATATATTCCGTGTCTATGTAATAAAAGTTAATTTGCCTCAAGTGCCATTTCTCAAGGGTTTTTAAAAAACTGGACAGCTCCTGTATTTTCAGTAGAGTTCCTGAGCTGAGAAAAAGCCTAAACTAATGGCTTGGGTCAAAGTCCCGTCATTTGATGAGATAATACAACTGTTCCCTCTTTACTTTAGAATCTAATATCTCCTCCACCTCCTGGTGGAGTTCCCCATCCACGATCAGGGGAGGGGGAGCTGCAGGACGAGGTCTCCATTTCGAGGGTCCCGGATCTTTCTTCAGTAGACTGAAATGGAAAATAGGATGGATGTGATAAGTTCTTGGGCAACTCTACTTCCACAGCGACTCTGTTAATGAGTTTCACAACTTTAAAAGGCCCCAGATATTTCCACCCCAGCTTTTTCCCAGGCTGCAAGCCTCTGAGGTTTTTTGTGGAAATGTACAGAGTCCCCAGGGTGCAAGTCCCATTCTGGGGCCCGATCCTTATCAACATATCATTTGTAATCCTCCTTAGCTTTGGTCAGAGTTTGTTGAATCGCAGGCCATCCCTGGATCAGTTTGGGCCACCAGGCCTGCACATCTCCTGAACCTGTCCCCTCTGTGGTCACTGTGGGCAAGGGACCTCCTTCGTACCCATGCACCACTTTGAAAGGGGAGGCTCCAGAGGATCCGTGCACCAAATTGTTATAACTGTACTCCGCAAAAGGGAGTAAGTTCCCCCAATCATCCTGCTGGTAGTTTATAAAGCATCTCAAAAATTGTTCTAGGATTTGGTTTGTCCTCTCTGTTTGGCTGTCAGTCTCTGGGTGGTACGTGCTACTCAGTCCCTGCTTAACCTCTAGCAGCTTTAACAGTTCCTTCCAAAACGCTGCTACAAAATTGTGACCCATGGTCAGCTATGATCTTCTGGGGCACTGCATGCAATCTCACAATGTGCTGCAGGAACAATTGAGTACGTTTCTTGGCTGTAGGCAACTGTTTACACAGAATGAAATGTGCCTGTTTGGAGGTCTACCACCACCCAAATAACAGTCTTTCCTTTACTAGGTGGCAAATCAGTTATGAAGTCATTTGAAATGATCGCCCATGGCTGTTCTGGGGTCTCCAGGGGCTGTAGCAACCCCAGGGTTTTCCCAGTCCACCTTTTACCAATTAGGCACACTTGGCAGGAGAACATTTATTGCGATATATTGGCCTGCATGTGCAGCCACCAGAATTGTCTTTGGTTGAGATGTAAAGTCTCTAGGTACCTAAAATGACCAGCCAGCTTACTGCCATGTTCCATGGAGAGGACCTCCCCCGTCAACGAATGTGGCACAAACAGTTTATGTTGATGGTACCAACAGCCATCCTCCCGTTGCTCTATGGTACCTTCATCTATTTCCTCCAGGTCCGTTTTGGAAAGGGTAGCTTTGAAGTTCTCCCGTGGCTCAGAAGTCTGAGAGGACCCCCCTCGCACAGCTGCACATCAGCACTGCTCCCCCCAGCTGGGTGGGCATGAACATTGAGTACACCACCTCCTCCCATTGACTAGAATTTTGGGGGAGGCACAAAATTTGACTTTCCAGGAGGTGCTTCAGAGTGAATCAAAACTTGGAGAAAAACTCTGCCCATTGCATCTGTTTGCCTCCAGGTTTTTATGAGCAGTCCAGATCTCAAAAGGCACCGGCGCTCCCTTCAACCAACGTCGCCAGGTAGTGAGCACTAACTTGATGGCAGCGGCCTCTTTGTTCCATCCTGCCCAATTTTGCTCCATGCCCGAGAA